CCAAGTTGAACTTCTCATGGGCCTATCTTTTTATGTCCATTCTTCTTATGTTTTTATTAGTATAGTTACCATATATTTTGGTCTTGTATTTTGGACCACATAGAATAACATTCTGGGCTTTAGGCTTGTTAGGCCTAGTTTTGGGCTTCATGGGCCTTTGGGCTTTTGGTACCCAATATTGGGCTCATTTTCATTCTTGTAATTTTACCTTTCCATTGTATTTGAATGACCATTGTATTTAGGTCATTAGAATAGGATTATACAAGGATTACTTAAATAGGCAAATTAAACTAAACTAGGTTTAATTTGGAAGTCATTTAAGTTACATTTGAGTCACATGTTTAACACCATGGGTGGATGAACATGTGCCACTCAAATTAACCCTAAATGACACTCCAAATTCAACCTAGATGCACCTTAGTACCTAAAATTTTGGCCAAGCACATGGGAGCCAAAATTTGAATTCAAATTTCAAGTTTGAATTCAAATTTTGGGCGCCACATGTAGGCTTTGATTTAGGCGCCCAAAGTGTGCATATCCGAAGTGCTTACTTAAGTAATTCTTTCCCTCATTATACTCACTTTTGAACTTCAGAAATTTGAGAGCATTTCTTTGCCAAGTTTCTTCCAAAAGTCACCGAGATATTGCCTTCAAGAACCCTAGGAAACTTACCTAGTTCCTACCTTTTGAAGTGAGCAATCCTTTGAGCCTTAAGCTAGGGTACTTCCTTCCTTAGTCTAGGATATTCTAATCCGAGAATCTCCTCCATTTCAAGTGTTCATCCATTGGTTTCAAGCTCCTTTGAAGAGGTCCAAGCTTTGGTGAATCCGAGGAGAAGAACACCTATCACCTCTCCTATTTTTTGCCATCATTTTTTGTATCAAGAGCAAGGTTCTTCAAGGAGATAAGTGTCCTTAATTTTTGGTCTGTTTGTCTTTGTGTTCTTGTGTGTCTTGTTTGAGTTTCTTTTCGGATCTATTTGTTTTTGAAAAAAATTTCTATCCATATATCCATTGATTGATTGTATTTTGATTTTCTTTCACAATCAATATGTTTAGGACCTATTTGCTTGTGCTTATTTTTGTATTTGTTTGAGTCTCTCATTTCCTAGCATGTGTCCGTGATTGGACTTCATCCATTGCATTAGATTTTGTTTTTGAATTCTTGTTTTGTCTTAGCAAGTTTTGTGTAGTTCGTATATGTTGCAAATTCTTTGAATAGCATTGTTTAACCTAGTTTTTCTTTTGTGTTGTTTGTCTATTTGGTCTCGGTTTTGTTATAATCTTTGTGCCTACCTATATGTGCTTTTTGTTTTACCTAATTGAGTTCATAATTTGCTATTAGTTCTAGCAAATTTCTTAGTGTTAGGTTTCTATTGTGTACTTAAGTTTTCAAATCACTTTCTATAAAAAATTCTTGAAACAACTATGTGTTACTTGAAATTTTAAGTGAATCATCCTACTTCTAGTGCACTATTTCTTTTGGATTCAAATTTTAAAAGTTTGGTGGTTGGAAAACAGAGAAAAATACAGAGCATTATGTTTCAAAATAGTTATAAAAAAAAGGAACAAAAGAATCCAATCAAAAATCTAAAAACTAGTGCACTAGTTCATCCATTTTCAGTTGAAATTTGTCAATCTAGTAGTCTCGATTTCTATACATTGGAATTGTGAAAAATTTGAAAACAAAAGGCAAGTGTCTTCTCTGGAATATAAATTTGAATTCAGAAAAAGAAAAGAATAATATATATATATA